TACATGTACCACAGACTTTCTGTAAATTCAAGGGTCATCTTAACCTTTGAAATAAAACACATTCCAAAAATTGCAAAGTGTAGACGCTTATTAACGCTTTCGCTAGATTTTCACAGAACCTCGAATTAATTCCAAAATAACTCCTTTGAGTCAGAGACACGATATTCAAAAGTCGAAAGAACGAGGCAGTGATAGAGATAGAAGACTGAATACAAGGCTTCTCTCATCGTCGCAAACCACGGCCAAAATGTAGGAGATAGCTATATAAGGACTCCGAACCGTAGCTTGAGACAATGAGCCTCTCTTGGATCTTGAAAAACGTGAAATTATCAAATCAAGATGAATTTCACACGAATGTATACCTTAAGTCTACATATGTATATATAAAGGCGTACAAATAAAGAGGTTTTAAACAATATGTAAGATGAATATCCAGATAACTTAAACGAATTTAAACAATAAATTGTACGTAAAATGTAACGTACCTTAATTAAAACCATATATCCAATTGGAAAAAAGAATTTCCTGACTTATGAGACTTTTTTTGGTACTGTAAAACTCTCCGGGCTAACTTTTAATTCTAAATTCAGCCGTGCACGCTAATTTAATCCCAATATTCGTGTCTCCTATATGCAGTCAAATTAACTGTGGCAAATGCCTTAATCACTAGATTAATTAATTCTATAAAACTGGATTAGGCTAATACACAAAACACCTGCGCCAAACGGTGAGTCACTTTGAAAACTTGTTAATTCCGTAAAAAATTCAAACTTTGAAATAATTTAAAAGTCTTAAAATAGCCTGAGACTCTGTGTGCTAATCAGGAAGACACTGGACTCAAGAGAGAGAAAGAGAGAGAGAGAGAGATTTATCTATAAAAAAAATGAAAGTTATCATATTTGGCTCGAACATATAAATGGCAATAAATTCAGGACATAATCTAAATTCTTGAAAGAGATTAAGATTTGATATAATTATTCCTTGGGCGAATAATTTTTTTTTTTTTTTGTTTATTAGGTTCAATGACTTTCGATGTTAAACGTTCGACAAAAAAATTAATTTCACTGCGCAAAATACTAGAATAATAGTCACATTGACAATATATAAAGAAAAAACATTCCGTCTAAACGGCATTTAGTACACTGATATTTAATTAAAAAACCGCCAATTAATTTTATTTGCATGTTAATAAATATCATCCAGGTATTTCTGAATTAATGCCTTTGAGCTGCGTTAATTGGACAGGTATATTCATCAATGCTGGGAAGGTATTTAATATTTACTAATTAAACATCAAAGAAAAAATTAATTTTTCGTGTGTGAATGTGTTATTTATTACCTTTTTGGGACCACCGGCGAGTTCTTCCATTATTAATAAAAATGTTGTACAAAGAAAGCGATATAACTCGTGCATTTTTTTTTTTTTAAAAAGCACAAAATAAAATTGTTCTCACTGACGACAACGTTTTAAAAACAGCTAAGCGAAAGATATACTTACAGATACATTTCATAGAAATTATGCCTTAAAATAGTAAAATACGATTTATAAATAAAATACACTAATCAAAAGAATTGTGAAAAAAATATATACTTCTAAATATGTTTTGGAACAAATTCAGTACAAAAGCCCTAAAAATCACAAGAGCAAGAAAATTCAAATTGAATTGATTTCTTTTGAAAAAATTTCATAGGGACTTACTTTTATGTCTTTATTCCATAAGGATTTTACAGGAATACGATTGTAAAATGAATCATTTTTGTTTTAAATATTTATTCTATAAAAAAAATCCAAGTAATGTTACTCAATACAGGAAATAAAACACTGGAATAAAATGACAAACTTTATCATCTTATTGGTTGTTTGTGTATTAACGACAATGTCAAGGTATGAGGCCTAAACATGACCTTCAAACAAAAACAAAATTTTCCAAAGTTTTTCTTCATTTCTGTGAAAAGCGGGGGAAGACGCTCCTGCCATAAAACACGGCCCAGTCGAGTCGCCAGAGAAAATATTCTCTTCTCGTTCCTATCCCGACCAAGCCAAAGGACCATAAAAATGGAGTGATGTAATTTATCGATAAATTCAATCGCCGGGATGGTCCTGCGGTCATGTACGTTCTCATACATAAACCTAGGTGTCCCGAGAAAGGAATGTTGCAATAGGATGTTAAAAAACGTCACCATTTAAGGAAATAAATTACAATCCTGTCCGAAATACCTTGTAATTTCTTTCTGTAGCACCTCAACCTGTCCAGTATTTTTCAGTTTGGACTGTTTGAAGCCTGTATCTTCCTTAAAGTAATTCCTCGATTAATTTATACAAAAAAATGAAAACCCACAACATATTTGAAGGATATTTTTGTATAGTCGTTGTACACCAGTTTTTCCAAAAAATGTCGAAATTCCTATGGGGACTAACTGAGCTCCTTTATTACCTGAAGCCGAATTATTCAAAAGCTTCTACATGCGAAGAACAAAACACTTATATATCTCGACGATGTATTATCAGTAGTAAGTTATTTTTCGTCCATACATATGTATGACGATTCGATATATCCTAGTGACCTTGGAATAAAAGACATCACAGAATCTGCAACACCTGTTTTATATATATTTGAATGTTTTATTAACTACAAATGATAAGGGCCAACAAAAAACGAAAATGTAGCATGAAAAACGAGATGATTTCATTTTTTCTATCGTCAGCTTTCCTTATTTTTGTAGCAACATCACTCTGTCACCTGCATATGATATTTACCTCTCCCAAATTATTCGATATACTCAAAATTATGCTCCGAGTAGGATCAATTTTTATAGCAGGGCAGGCTAATATCAGTTGATGTTACAGGGAATTCAATTACCGGGCACCTTGTTTAAAGTCAGCATTTTAAGTACATGTAATATGGTCGTTATAAACACCTTGATAGCAAATATAGCTTATCACCGGGTCGTATTAAGGTTCATTGATACTCTGATAAGAGAGACAACTCTTAATGACATAAATGTCTATAATTATAATTCCTTTATAGATTTGCCAAGTTGAAAAGTCTTTTGGCCTATTTTGCCCCGCAAGCAATATGCTATAATTGTTTGTATTTTACTTATAAAATACATTTCGTTTGGAAAATCATTAAGGTTCAAGCTTAATTTTATATGAGTGAGTAGATGGTTTATGAACCTTAAGGCTGACTTTTTTCTTTCATTCGAATTATATTGAATTTGGCTACGGAATATTCAGACTACCTTTTCAATACATACCTGTAGGCCTCACAGCGGGTGTGACCGGTCGACAAGGGACGCTTATTCCTCCTAGGCACCTGATCCTACGTCTGGAAATTCGAAGGCTCTATGATTATGCCCTCTACACACATGCGCGGATCTAGGGGGGGGGGGGGGGGGCGGGGATTTTTTTGTTTTATTTTTTTTTTTTTGCGTGTCAACAACAAATTTTGGAATTGGATTTTTTTTTTGACTGGGGTAGATCCCCACCCCACCCCCGGGAAAAAAAATTCCTGGATCCGCGCCTGACATATATTTGTATTGTTAAGAAATTTACTAAAAGAAAAGAAATTTTTATAGTTGAAAAAAATTTAATACAATATTGTCAACATATATCAAGTATGCAACACATTTGAAAATTTGAGTTAGGATACATTACAGTTTCATCAAGTCACTTCGTATGCACAAAAAAAGATTGGATACTTTGTTTAAAATATACTTAAAATATGCAAAGTTAATTAGAGAACACGACCTTAATGACATTAATATAAGCCTATTTTAACATGTTTTTATTTCTTTTGTATAAACACAGCTAATACACACTTCAACCTCAATATAGATAACAATTAATTTCATAAATTTAAACAGTATTTTTTACTTGAACCAAATTGAATGCAAAGTACAACAAAACAATGTTTTCCTGCAATTTTTTTTTTAACACAACAAAGTAATACTTTTCAAGGTCAAGGTTTATATAAATGCTTCAATGAATTCAACAGTGTAAAAACTATGTAAAAAGTATGATCCGCGCCTGTTTCCTGGCCGAACACAACAAAAGTAAATTGTTATCAATGAAAACTATGATGCCCCTTTACATTGCTATTTACATGAATACATGTGTATATATATAATTTTTTATTGTCAATAACAGCATAAGGATCTATATCTGACAGAGATGGTGAGCTAGTGGTGTCAAAAAAAACAATAAATTTTAATTCCTTAGGAACAGTCATACAGATAATATGGACTATGTACATTCTGGAACTGTAATTGGAAATTTGTTAATATGAAAGAAAGGGGGGTGGGGGGTAGAAGGCACTAAATTGAAACAAGAGGCCCCTGGGCCACATCGCTCACCTGAGAAGCTTTGACCATTCTGTTCTTTACCAGATTTTCCCCTTGTAATACATATTGCGACCCCACCCTACCCACTGATCATAATTTAGACAATTTGAAATCTACACTACCCCAGGATGCTTACACATAAGTTTCAGCTTTTCTGGCCCAGTGGTTCTTGAGAAGAAGATTTCTAAAGATTTTTCCTATATATTTCTATGTAACATTTGGATTCCCAATTGTGGCCCCGCCCAACCCCTGGAAAAAAAAAATTGGATAATTTGTTTAAAATATAATTAAAATATGCAAAGTTAAAGAACCCCTTAGAGACTTCCATTTTAAGTTTCGCAGCTTTTATGGCCCAGTGGTCTCTATATAAGAAGATTTTTTGAATATATACCACAAAATTTGGGTCAAAGTGAGGAGTTTTTGTCTTTATATAAATGCTTATCTCCCTTGTGAAAAACTTGGCGCCTGTTTCCTTTTTAACACAACAAAAGTAAAATAATAAAATTGTTATCACTTTCAGGTGGGTTTTAATGAACGATGCTCGGACATTGCTAGGTATGGTGGTATGGTGGGGTATATAATTTATTGTCAATAGAAACATCAAGGAATAGGCAGAGGAAGTTGAAAAAGTGAAAAGTTTTAATTCAGATGTCAATGACATAATATGGACTATGTACATTCTTGAACTGTAATTGGAAATTTGTTGAAATGAGAGGGGGGATTAGAAGGCAATGAATTGAAAAAAGGTAGTCAAGGTTTTATAAAAAAAAGTTTAAAAGTATTATAAAAATTAATATGATTATTATGTTTAACGATTTCTAGCATGTGTATTTTATAAAATAATACACGTCTTATATAAACGGTCCACATTGTGAACAAAATATGAAACTATTCTCAATATGAGAAATACTCAACGTGAAAATGTTAACTACGTATCACACTGAACTGCTTTACCATAGTTGCCTTTATCTTACCTATATATTATCAATATCTATAAAAATACGACATGGACAATTAAATAACTATTAGAAACAGATGTACATTCATGCATTCATCATGTATCCGTAAAAAAAATCCATTACAAATGGATTTATATAAAAAGCTACTGAAACATGCGGATAACAACCGTAGTTTTCGGCATGATACGCAAATCGAAATAGATGTAAGGTGTTCTTTAAAAACACATTTTTAAACCTGAATTAAAATTCACAACATTAAAATATAGAACCATCACATATATCGTGTACGCGTTTCTTGCAAATCAACAAGTCATTCATTTCAATAATCACAATAAGTTCATCTTCACATCCACATAAACAATTCTTTCATCAAAATAACATAAATAGAAATAAATCTAATAAACATAAACACAAAAACACATCTCTGGAATCAAATATCAAAGTTCAGCATTTATTTTAACTTCCGGATCGAGATTCATTTGTCCTCCACACTTTCGTAGTCATTCTCTTCCGGTTCCCATAAGAATTTATCATCCTCTAAAATGTCTGCCAATTCTTGGTTGTAAGGTTCATAAAATTCGTTTAGCAGCCTCCTGGTTTCGTTTAACATGGCACCGACATTACGGTCTGATTTTTTCCTTTTGTTTGCTGTTTTCATCTTTGCTATTGATCTCATAGATTCCCCATCTAGGATTCCTGTTTATAATTTAAAAAACAAATTAAATAAAAACTTACTCTTTTTATCAAATATTTCATTTGTTTACTGTATTACCCAGCATATTAAGGGGTGCATTGACACACTGAAAAGAGAGATAACTTTCAATTGGCTAAATAAATATCATTCCTCCAAAATTAAATCATAATTAACATAACTAAATTGCCAAGTTAAAGAAGCTTTACATACCGCTAACAAAAAAATTCTGATTCCATGATATATTCAATATGCATTTAGAGTAGACGCTTTGATGGTATGATATTAATAATAAATGAAATGACTGAATTCAAAATAAATCAAAATGTTCCAAACACTTTATTATACCTAGGTAAAGTAACTGAATACACAAGTCAACATACTGGTATACTTTCATGCTCAGTGTATATATAGATTTGTTTTCTTCTGAAAAATCATAAGGATAAAGCAACAGAGGGATGAGCAACCTTAATTACAGTATACAACTGACTTAACAACTCTATGAGGGATGAGCAACCTGAATTACGGTACACACACTTTATATGAGCCCCCTTAATTACAGTATACATCTGACTTAACAGCTCTATGAGGGATGAGCCCCCTTAATTACGGTATACACACTGTATGAGGGATGAGCCACCTTAATTACAGTATACACCTGACTAGATAAGTACTTACTGACGTCCAGGAATTTATAGATTTTACTGAGCGTCTTTCTAGGATGTTTGGCGTAGTCCTCAAGGGAGATTATCAGTATTTGATCAGGAGGGAACACCTTAAGCCAGTCCTTGATATACACGGAGTACATTCCCAGACGTAATCTAACCTGTAGTAAATCAAATCTTGTTCAACATTACTGGGGCATATTTTGACATTTAAAGATAATAACCAAAGCAGTGCTTATTACTTTCAGAACGGAGATTGTATGATGTCCAGAATATAATTAATACAGGTAATCAGGATAGAAAGTTGGGAATTTACTAACAATGGTAAGTATCCTGCTACGATAAGTAAAGAAAAGTATAGTAAAAACAGACCCTGGACAGGTAGGCTATTGTTCTGTTGTATACACAATATCTGACGGAGTGTCGCTCTGTACAGTTCTGGTAAACTCCAACAGCATACGTCACAGCTCTGTGAAAGTCCTCCGCTGATTTGTTGGTTTTGGTGAAGTAAAGATAGTCCGAATACAGCCTGAAAATAGTTGTTTATTTGTCTAGTATTTAAAATCTATATAATTATAAAGTTTCTGGTGTAAAGGATAGAAACTATAGCTAGGAACACTGAAACAAGACTTGTTTGTCTTCCTCGACTATAAGTAATTAACCTCCTGTCGTCAAAGTCTCGTCGAAGTCTCGCCAGAGTTACTGAGAACTCATCGGGCATTATCCTGTGCTGATTACCTGTCTGTGGGGTTCCGGACACAGATGATAATTTTAGCCCTGGGTATCACGTGACGTATGTAGTCTGCGCTGGTGTACCTAGGCTCCGTGTAACCTTCGTTTTCTCGGAAATGGAACCAGTCGTCGTTCTCCCAAAGTATGGACGCACTCGCCTCCCCTAAAAAAAGATACCAATCCATTTTGGGGGTTCAATCAGAATTTTTGTCGGTATCATAAACTTAAACAAGAGATTTTGTAAAAGACTTATGTCCCCCTCCCAAAAATGATTTGAATTTGTCTATGTCCAAGGGGCATAACTCGATCCAAAATGGCTTGATCAAACCTAAAACAAAGCTTGACCTAGATATTCTTATGATAAATTTGTATAACAAATTTGATTACAATACGTGCAACCTCTTCAAAGAAAATGAACGGACACTGATGCTGGACCGACAGTAATATACCCTACCTTCTTAGAAAGGGGGGGGGGGTAAAAATGAATCATAACGTTCTAGATTTTTTCTCGGGGGTGGGCATGACGTTGGGGGTTGGGGGTAATTTCAAGAATGCTTCATTGTGCCCACCTAGCATTCGTTTTTATTTCTGCTTGAAAATTACAGGTTTTCAGTCCTCAACATTTACCAAATATCGAACCAAAATTCATGTTTTACAAAGAAGGTTTTTATTAGTATTGAAAAGGTCCAGACTGGCTTTAATAAACCTCACTAGACAAAATCCCTTTCAAAGAAAAGCAGAGTGTTGGCTTCATTGATGACAGACCATCGACCGGAAATTTTCAGTGATTTTACATGTAACTATAATACTAGTAATTGTTTACTATAAACCAAATTATTCAGTGTTATGCTATATAAAATGTTTTCAATTTAATAATTTTAAATTATAGTCCCTCTCTCTTTTCGGGGAGAGAGAGAGAGAAGGGGCGGGGGTTCTGCTTTCTTCCGGAAAACATAGACCTAAATTGAACTTAAGGTCTATGCACAAACCGATAATTTGTATGGAACATGTGTGAATTTTCAACCCCTATTACCTAAAGACCAGTACCTAAAGACCTTGTTTTATCGCCCATGACACGTGTGTTTTCCTGAATAAAAGTCTCTTAAGTTCCTCCTTTTACAATACTAAGTACCACTCAACGCGTTATCACTTCAGTGCAGTTTGTGAAGAAAAATATTTGTTCACTCATATTATGTAGTACATGTACATTATGTAGCCCCATTTAACCCCGATCACCTTGTAATTTATATAACATGCACTTTATTTGAGAATAAAACCCATGTTACCACTTGTATTTTGCATTTTGTAAAGCCATAAATCTTTATATGTAAAGCTGAATTCAGTTCTATTCATAGATTATAATCACACTGGAGTGTTTCCTTTTCAAACCTGTAATGGTGTGATGATATTGAACTTCCGGTTTTTCTATTTCCGGATCACGTGCATAGCGTCTCTCGATGTGATAAGCTGCCATATCGAACATATCTATGTAGTCAGAGAGGGGTATTATATCGGTATAGTTCAGTCGACGACCTTAAAAAAAAACAAATAACACAAAATTGAATTATGTCGATTGTTTAGCCTTTACTAAACTATGAATCTTTAAGGATACTGACATACAAGTGAGAAAAACTACATTTATTAAAGTCTTTTAATATATGCTATATAAAGCTTTAGATTAACTATCTTTCTTTGTTATCTAAGATCTAGATTGATTTTCAGGTTTTGAAAATGTACCCTGTCGATTTCGGGACCACCAGTGAAGTTCTTTGATTGGCGGGTTGATGACGTCAGGATGCCTGACAATCTTCCGGTACACATCGGTCGTACCACATTTAGGTTGTCCCACGATTAGGAAATATGGTAGACAGCGCAGGCGCCGTGCAGGCCTATCTTTGGCAATACGAGTAGCCCATTCTTTTATGAGTTCAGTCATGGTCGTTCGAATGTTTCGCGAGATGACGGTATATTTGTTGAACTGGTAAACGTTTGCTTCACGTAGATCTTCATACCAGCAGGGATTTTTGAAGTTTGAAAGAAAACTTGGTAGTTCCTGGAACAAATAAAGATATCTTTTAGCATATACATGTACTCAGCAGTAGCTGAAATCCATGATTCCAAGCAGCTTCTGAGGTCACAACTCTACGCCTACTGAACATTATAGTTCAATAATGGTAACTCTTGTTTCTTTTATCGCACTAAACCCATTTATTCTAATTTGAGCAAAAGAATTACACTAATTATTAAATCAATAATCCCAATTATATCTTTATTTCTGTTTGCCTGAAACGTAATGTTTTTCAAAAAAAATCTGATTCGGAAATATGTTTTGAATGATGAGTATATGCACTTCCACCCAAGAAAAATTCCTGGATCCGCCCTCGGAAAAACGTCCCCCTTTGTATACATGTACTCACGTTATGTAAAATGTCCAGTTGAGGGTGACTCCATATCTCTCTTTTGTCCGTGACATTCCACGCGCTCCAGTTCCCCGCGGTCAAATTACCAAAATAATTCACATACACCCCATGGTCGTTAAGTAGGTGGATCATTGAGAGGCGGCTGTCAGTAGAAGACTTGTCCGTGTACCTGTTCACTCCGCCATGAATCAGAATCCGGAACACGGAGAACAGCATGCAAAGGGAAAAGGTCACGAATAAAAATAGCTGGAAGCCGGTCCGCCTCACTCGGATCCGCCCCAGCCATGATCTAACACGCAGGCGCAACTGTGACGTCAGTCCATCTATCATAATACTGAAACTTTTTTCCTTTTTCTCATCCTCCGTAATGTAACATTAATGTCTGATCATTTCAGGGTTTCTGAAAATAAATGAATAAAAATATTAGAGTTCAAAATATTAAAATGATATTTATATTTTATTCTGGATAATGATACGTTTTATCTCGAATTTTCGTCCTCCTTTCTCCAGATAACAATTTCACGTCAGAAGTCCATGGTCTTTACTTCCGTTACCAATGAAACTTTCATTAAAATGTCAGAAATCATTTCAAAGACGTCAATCGCTGTACATAGTAGAATTTTCACTGGCGATATTTTCCATGTGATTACAACACCCCCTCCTTTTTTGAAAACACTGTCTCAAAAGATGAATTTTCAGAGTTTACGACTCAGTATTAATAACAGTCCATGATCGATACCTCTGTACCAGACAAAAGGAAAAAAGGAATCCTGTGTGTCTTCAACACTTAACAAGGTGCAATTAACATCTTTACATGCACCCATTAATTATATATATTGATTAATTTTTCCCATAATCTACAGTTACTGAAGAAGGCTATCATGGCATTCACAAATACAGTCCTTTCTGATGGAGATAGGTACAAGTATTTACAGACTTTCTCTCATTGGTTCTCTGGAACGGGTCAAGGACACAATAGATTTTTATGGATTATCGGTAATTACACTCACGGTTAACTTTTTTAAATATTTAAAGTGATCCTGTAACTTTTAATATTCCTGGTATTAATTTTTAAAAAAAATATTTCGCTCTATTTTGAAGTGTTCGTTCAAGGGGCAAGATTCTCAAACTCAAAAAAAATCCTGAATCACTCAATGACCATGTCTCATCTGTTCTTCTTTAGAATGAATTTTCACCTGGTTTTGAGAGGGAGTCACTTCTTTCAAGGTACCCGCAGAACTGTAGCATTATGGTTTGTTTTTTTTAAGAAATAAGGTATCATTTTTTTAGTTTTCTTGGGATGTAAAACGGGTTGGTCACGTGATCAAATCTCATAAAGCCCGAAAGTTACTTTTAAGGTTGAGTGAAAATAGGTTTTGTCATTTTTATTATACATTATACCATTTTAACTACATGTATAATCTTAAGGGTGGGTGGGATGGTGATATTCCATCTCCATACAAGATGCGCACTTAATTCTCGCTGATAAAAATTCAGGTAAACCCACCCACTGAAAAAGAGATAACTCTGACTTAATAATAATTCTTCTATTACTCTGTCCATAACCTATTTCATGTACATTGAATAGAAAATATGAGCATTTCTTTTGGGAAAATTTACACTATTAGAGAAAATTTTCATATGATGGACCATGAGTCATACAGATATAGGTTTGAGGATTCAGAGAAGTATAATTTCAATTTTACAGTTAGATATAAACTAATAAAATCTAATTAACGTACATGTACACATGTATGTACATGTTTTTTAAGGAAATGATATGATCATGATGATGTATTGTTTTATGGACTTTGATATTGAATACTGTTCGTTATCTCCATATCCTTCATGATCTCTCTCTCTCTCTCTCTCCTTTTTGATCTAAATAACAATTTTCTTTTTATAATACTATTGTGTAAACTTGGTTTATGTCGGTAAATTTATGTTTTAAATTGACAAAGTATTGCTACTGTCAGATGGGCATCATCTTCATATTACCCGGTAAGTATACTACATGTATATACCGCACCCCCACTTCACCCCACCCCCACGGACCAATGTTGTTATGTTTCTCTGTTCGGTATGATTCAGCCTGATATGTTAATTTTGACAGCCATGTACGCTGACTAATGTAAATCTAAATGTCATTCTATTCACACGGTAAAATAACAATATTTATCATCGTATTACACACACTAAATTACTGACAAACGTGGGACAGTCAATTCACATTACACTAGGCCATAAACTCATACTAGTTAAACAAATCATTATTTGAAAGTTTATATGTATACCCCCTTCCTTCTTTCTTCAGGGTATACTGCACCCAACAAATTGTCAGGGTGACCCAGATATGACCAGTAACCCAAATAACTGACCAGTGACTGACCAGTCGGCTAAGGCCTCCAGGCAGGAGAAATTCAGAAACGTGAATTAAAAACATGGATACTTTTATCAACTACGACACTGTTAGACAAATCCTTGTCCATTTTATCATACACTTATCTGAATTATCATTTTTGACGTCTCTCTCTCTCTCTCTCTCTCTCTCTCTCTGAGTAACGTATCGTTTTTGGGGGTCATTTTTAGGAAAAAATCACATGTACGTTTCTAAATATACACTTATCTATCAAACAATGCCCGTTATATATCTTTTATCTTCTTACCAATAAATTAGATTAAACAGCTTTTCCATTGTATGAAAACGTGCGTAAACAGCCAGATTTAGGCAATGAAATCATCTTTAAAATCCGTCCAAATATTTCCTACTCCTTCACTAACAAAACAATGAGCACTCTCCTAGAAAACTCACCAGGCACTTAATTCAATAAACACTCTCACCATAAAGTTCTCCAAAAGTTTATGCAGTGTAAATCAATCGGACAAATTAAGTGGGTGTAAAAATGTCAAGATCACGTAATAAATCTAAACAAACCTCCACAGTGCAGCCTGTCAATATTCAGCAGGAATCTTTTGGTATATTGCAATGCCTTGTGTGAAATTATTAAACGAACGCCAACTGACTTCACCGGAAGTGAGTAAATAGCCTGATTTAAGAAGCACTTATGGCTTTCGAACGTCGAGTGGACAGAATCATTCAAGCTGTATCCCCCAAACACAAACAACACATATTTTGTGGTCAAGGAGGGGGGGGTAGAAAAGTTTTTCACACTTTCCTGAATTTTTGAACTCAAAATCGCACCTATGAAAGTACCATATTTCTGCTTTATGTATTAAAGCTAACTACTTTTCCACAGTTGTTAGCATATTAGTTCATACATTGCAATGGAAAACGATTGAAATACCAGCATTAATTATTAAGCCATTTAGAGTAACTGCAAGAGTATAGCGACAAATGCATGTACACATGTAGGACTAGCCAATTTCCTTTTGTGTACCCCCTGCAGCAAAAATTCGAAGGACATTCCCCCATCTGTGGTTGTTCCACGTCGATATACATGTTAATAGTACACAGGGCAAACAGCGCGAGCACTCATCTATAGCACCCAGCGCGCACCTTGCTTCCCCCTACTGCATGTTTTGTTTTCTGAGATGTTTTGACTCGAGAAGTTAAACTTTGTTTAGTTTCTGATTTCTGTGCTTGAGTTCGAGATGAAAGACTGCCGTATAACATCAGAAGCCCTTAATGACGACAACTCTGCTCTCCAGCACGGGGGTGATTACATGTAATTAAGATAAAAAGATTATGTCTAGTACCTACTCCTTTTGTGCATTGGCTTGTTAAACCCAGTTGGCGATGGTAAGGTTCCTTAAAAAAGGATGAGGGGGGATAAAAGCAAAATTCTTCATTGATCATTCAATTAATTTAACTTAGGATATTTCCCCCTACCCCCCCCCTCCCCCGCACTAATAAATAAAACTTTAACAATACTGTGTCTAAAATTGATATGTATACTATTTAGAGTTCTTCATTTATGTTTATCACCTTTGTCTTTTCAAAAGATTAATTAACTAACGAACTCGGTCCCGAAGGATATCATCATTAGAGCATAATAAAAATAATTCATACTAAAAATTAGATTGTACATATTATGTAGATGCATGCAAATTAAGATCTCTCTCTCTCTCTCTCTCTCTCTCCAACCTTAAGTGAAGCCGCTAAAACCGAGTTTTAAGATCCTTTATTGTCCCACACCACAAATTTGTGGGGGTCAATAACATCATTAAGTTACCCCGGGAGGATGCATTTCACCTTACATTGCCATTAAAAAGGAACGCACTTAGTCTAGTATATTGTTACATGTGAGGATCTCCCCAGACACACACATGTTGAAATCTACATTCCGACTTCCCCTTGAACTTTGAGGGGATTAACTCAGATGGAGTCAAAGAAGTGCAAGTGCTTGAAATCCTTAGGCGGATCTTAGAGTGAAATGTTTGATTCATTTGAGAATACTTATGTATGTTTTAATTGATCATTGAAATTCAATTTAGATAAAAAAAAAAAATGACTGTTTTAACCCAAACATGTAATGCTTTTGAATTTTCCGAAAATTATAAATATGTTCTGTCCCAACACGTTTTTTTCTTTGTTGAAAGAAAAATAATTAACTTTATCTGACGTCTATACAATAACAACCTTCCCGGAAATCCAAATATTATCAGAAAAGATCCAAGGTCAAAGTTGTGGGGTCACTAAGGTCAAGTAAACACTAATTGTATACAGTATGTATGTGTATAGGGTACATGATTATATCAGACCAAGTCATAAAATCTTCGCGATTGTCATTAAATATCTTGACAAATGTTGGTTTACTACACACGATCCCCGTAAACAAACCTGAACAAAGGTGTGTACATTTCTATAATTTACCTGTCTCGTCGTTCTTCAGGTAAATATCATTAATCTAAATCCCACATAGGTGACTGACAATATGCCGGGGTATATATATCCCCCATGGTTTATCACAATGGAAATATCAATTTATAAAGACTGAACATGATTGTGTTAAATCAATTAGATGACCCCCCAAAAAAACTGTAAAATGATTGTCTTGATTCTTATGTTGTAAGTTTATATTGTTATTAAACATGTCGGGTATATTTGGGGGTACTTTTCAACTGTTTACAAAATCAATCATGCAGAACCCAACACGTAATGTGTAAACACAGTATTATAGTAATTTTAAATGTTCAGACACAACTTCCTACCTCGGTTTAAGTTACAACATCCTCTTCCATCTGAGTTTAGAGTCACATGGCGGCCTTGTTTGTTCCGGCGATCTCTGACGATGTTCGGATTTTCCCGTCTGCTACCCTCGGGGGTTGTATTAACCTCCATTCATGCGGGCAGTCGCGGCTTTGATTGGCTATTTCGTCTCGGCCGACAACCAGTCGATAAAAATACACCCTAGCGTGGTTAAGGCGCTAAATTTTAATATGTAATCCGATTTTATTTCCTTGAAAAAAGTAGATCGGAGTTAAGCAATGATGGCGGGAGATGAATAAATAATCATTAAAGGAAGCTAGTTAATTTTTGTTGCTATGTCTATATATGTACTAAATATAGGTAAAGAAAAAAATTAGAATTTATCAAAATATTTTAAAATATAATCATTATACAAAACCCAAATGAAGAAGTACTGCATGAAATAAAGACGATGGGAGGGGGGAATTTTGCAAAAAAAGGGGGGGGGGGATGGGTGTCCGCACTCAACCCCTCTGATACAAGGTGACGAAAAAAAAAGAGAAATTAATAAAGAATCATGTATATATATATATATATATATATATATATATATATATATATATATATATATATATATATATATATATATATATATATATATATATATATACTCTTTTAAGACACAATATGATTAAAACAAAGGACCATGAATATATACATTTACATTTAGTTACGAAATTTAAAAGGAAGTATTCTACTATTTTATTTTTGGAAGGAATAAATTGATTAAAATCATAAAATATATAAGAGGGACGGAAAGAAAAAAAAATATACGAAACACTTTCATCTAAAGAAATAAGATGTCGGCAGTTAGGTACAAACATGTATTGTAAACACTGATGGCACGTAGCATCAGGGGTGCCAGCCTCCCGGCCCCCTTTTTCCTCAGACGCTACTTTTTACCATACCAAATGTTCAAAGTGCCCCCCCCCGTTTTGATGCAGTAAGTATTGGTAAATAAGGGCAATGAAGTATGTTTGATTAAAAAAACAGTACCGAAAGAAGTTGGATTATCATCAGTAATTCAGAAAAATAGTTCATGTACTATTGTATTCTTGGGAATTAGACCAGAAGCTATTTTGCCCTCTTGTTTATGGTTCGATTTCCTTTTTTCCCCAAAATCTGTACATGATGACGCATTTTACCTTTAAAAGTAAGTAATTTCATCTTTGCACATTTGCATTTCTTTACTAGAGCCAAAGAGCTAGTTTGGTCAATAGTATACATTTCAGAAGGCTGTAAAATGTTTCACAAAATATCTAAAAACTTAGGGTCGTATATTAATAACTAACTGGTTCACTGTAAGGTCGGATAAACCAGCTTTTTGAATCAAATGTAGTGTACACTATACAGTGTATGTATGTCAGTCTTTATCACCACAAATGGAAATCTTCTAATACTTCTGTATTAAACTGGATAGCTATAAATGTCTCCAATGATTCAAGATAAAATTCTCATTAATCAAGGGCATTCAACACAGCCATTTTCATTTCTGGAAAAAATATCTATGATGGGCAAAATATTTTGACTCCATCAGTAATCCTCTTACTTAGATGGCAATGATTTATGTTCAACTTAATGTATCTGACAGTGGTATGCTCAAACACAGAAACAAACAAATAAACAAATTAAACATGAATAACAATGTAACAACTTTTAATATAAACAACATACTTCTCAGCAGGACTGAAATTTATACAATAAACATGTCACAAACAAAAACAGAAAATGATTGGCCAAACATGTCACATGACACAGTAAGACAAATTGACTGGCCAAAGATGTCACATGACACAATGAAAACAGAAAATGATTGACCAAAGATGTCACATGTTAAATCTGAATAGGTGATTGGCCAAAAAATGTCACATGTTGCAATCAAAACAGGAAAATGATTGGCTAAAAGTGTCACATGTCACTATCAAAACAAGGAAATGATTGGCCAAAAATGTCACATGATACAATTAAAACAGGAAATGATTGGCCAAACATTAAAAACAAAGAAAAGAATGCATGGCACAGGATGGCTAATAATATATAAATAAGTTATGAAGAATTAATTTGATCTTGTGCAATTCTTAGCTCACCTGAGCTATAGAAGTTGTTCAGTTTGTCTTTATCTAGGCATCTTCTAAGGATGTCAAAGCATATACATAAGTTCTAACAAATCATATCTATCATAAATGGAACATTTTCTAGGAAAATGTCATTGGAAAATCTCTTAACAAAAGGCCCATGGGCCACATCGCTCACCTGAGAAGCTTTGACCATTCTGTTCTTTACCAGATTTCCCCCTTGTAATACATTATGTATCCCCACCCTAGCCCACTGATCATAATTAAGACATTTTGAAATCAACTACCCCAGGATCCTTCCATGTGCAAATAAGTTTCAGCTTTTCTGGCCCAGTGGTTCTTGAGAAGAAGATTTTCAAAGATATTTCCTATATATTTTTATGTAAAACTTTGATCCCTCCATTGTGGCTCCACCCTTCCCCTGGGGGTCATGATTTGAACAATTCAAAATCTACATTACCCAAGAATGCTTTCACATAAGTTTCAACTTTTCTGGCCCGGTGGTTCTTGAGAAGAAGATTTTCAAAGATTTTTTCAATATATATTTCTATGTAAAACTTTGATTACCAATTGTGGCCCCACCCTTCCCCCGGGGGTCATGATTTAATTTAGAATCTACACTATACCAGGATGCTTCCACATAAGTTTCAGCTTTTCTGGCCCAGTGGTTCTTGAGAAGAAGATTTTCAAAGATTTTTCCTATATATTTCTATGTAAAACTTTGATTCCCCATTGTGGCCCAGCTCTTTCCCCGGGGGTCATGATTTGAACAATTTAAAATCTACACTACCCAAGAATGCTTCCACATAAGTTTCAACTTTTCTGGCCCAGTGGTTCTTGAGAAGAAGATTTTCCAAGATTTTTCCTATATATTTCTATGTAAAACTTTGATTCCCCATTGTGGCCCCGCCCTTCCCCCGGGGGTCATGATTTTTACAATTTAGAATCTACACTATCCCAGGATGCTTCCACATAAGTTTCAGCTTTTCTGGCCCAGTAGTTCTTGAGAAGAAGATTTTCAAAGATTTTTCCTATATATTTCTTTGTAAAACTTTGATTCCCCATTGAGGCTCCTCCCTACCCCCGGGGTTATAATTTGAACAAGTAAGAATCTGCACTACCCAAGGATGCTTTCACATAAGTTTCAGCTTTTCTGGCCCAGTGGTTCTTGAGAAGAAGATTTTCCAAGATTTTTCCTATATATTTCTATGTAAAACTTTGATTCCCAATTGTGGCCTCGCCCTTCCATGGGGGTCATGATTTGAACAATTTAATATCTACACTACCCTAGGATGCTTTCACATAAGTTTCAGCTTTTCTGGCCCAGTAGTTCTTGAGAAGAAGATTTTCAAAGATTTTTCCTATATATTTCTATGTAAAACTTTGATTCCCCATTGTGGCTCCGCCCTTCCCCCGGGGGTCATGATTTGAACAATTTAATATCTACACTACACTAGGATGCTTTCACATAAGTTTCAGCTTTTCTGGCCCAGTGGTTCTTGAGAAGAAGATTTTTTAATGACCCCACCCTATTTTTGTATTGTCTTGATTATCTACCCTTGGAAGGAGACCTGGCCCTTTATTTTAACAATTTAAATTTCCCTTCACCCAAGGATGCTTTGTACCAAGTTTGGTCAAAATTGGCCCAGTGGTTCTTGAGAAGAAGTCGAAAATGTGAAAAGTTTACAGACGGACAGACAGACAGCTAGACGGACGACGGACAACGGACAAAATGTGATCAGAAAAGCTCACTTGAGCCTTCGGCTCAGGTGAGCTAAAAACTGTTAAAAAATAAATTTTTTCAAATCAAATTTATGTTAGTACATGTACCAGTGTCTGTATGTGTTTCTTATCATCATTCAGGAGACCAGTCTAGGACCTGATAATAATTAAATATAATCTTTAGAATAAATAAACCGTAGATTTGTTCAAATTCTATTCCTCTCACAACTGTAAGCTTTAGGGGTAGTGAGAACTATTGTTTGTTTTTTTAAACTCAGGTGAGCATTGAGGTCCTGTAAGCCTCTCATTGTCAAAGTTACTATTACACAGCGGTTTCTTATGACAATCAGTGAACATGAAGGCTGTCCGAGACACCATCTTTACGGCAGATGACGGGCCTGACAAGCAATAAGAATGTGAGATCTGGCGGCGGATTCGTCAAGGATTGGGGGAGTTCCAGGATCTGAGTTCTCCATCTGCCCTCATCTGATACTGCTTCCTGTAATACATGTATGATAAGAATATTAGCTACACCTATACAATGTCTGTAATACTTGACTTAACAAAGATGTCAAAGACTGATTACAGATGTGAGATATTGTGTATGCAATCCAACTTTAAATGTTGTCATTTAATTCCAATGACATGAAATAAGGCACCAGGTTTTTGAAAGGTACATGCTTTAGTCAATTACCATTCATTACGTCTCTGTTTCTGGTTCTTTTGAAGGGTAGGAATAAATGTTTTGGATAATTACCAACAATTATACATGTATCTCTGCATTGTTTAAGGTTTTAAGGAGGGGTGGGGTAGATGTTTGAGATAATTACCATTTAATAATAACCCTGCTCTGTTTCAGGTTTCGGGACACTCGCGATATTTTTTGATCCTCTTCCACTCCCCCGTCTCGTAGTTCATCTGGAAGAACATGTCCGCCAGCATGGCTTTGGATGAGCCGTCTGTCTGCTGGATAATCTCTTTGTTTTCACTCAGTCGGATACTTAACACATTACCCTGCTGGGGGCACGGATTGTCTGAAGAGAAATTTGTTCAAATAGAGTTGACTTGTCAATATCTACCACTAAAATCTTTGATACAACTAATTAATTTTAAGAATTTAAAAAAGACAAGAGGCCCATGGGCCACATCGCTCACCTGAGCACCAAGGGTAGGACTAGTATAAAATGGCTTTTTATTGTAAAGTTTAAATCCAAAAGTAGTCCCATGACCAATCATGGATTTGCTATTTTTTAGAAAATGATTGAGAAGAAGATTTTTAAAGAATTTTCCTATATATTTCTATGTAAACCTTTGGTCGGCCATTTTGGCCCCGCCCTACCCCCGGGGGTCATGATTTGAACAAAATTGAATCTACACTACCTGAACATGCTTCCATATAAATATGATGAATAATGGCTTTGTCATTCTTGAGAAGAAGATTTTTAAAGAATTTTCCTATATATCTCTATGTAAAACCTTGGTCGGCCATTTTGGCCCCGCCCTACCCCCGGGGGTCATGATTTGAACAAACTTGAATCTACACTACCTGATCATGCTTCCATATAAATATGATGAATTATGGCTTTGTCATTCTTGAGAAGAAGATTTTTGAAGAATTTTCCTATATATTTCTATGTAAAACTTTGGTCGGCCATTTTGGCCCCGCCCTACCCCCGGGGGTCATGATTTGAACAAACTTGAATCTACACTACCTGAGCATGTTTCCATATAAATATGATGAATTATGGCTTTGTCATTCTTGAGAAGAAGATTTTTAAAGAATTTTCCTATATATTTCTATGTAAATTTTTGGTCGGCCATTTTGGCCCCGCCCTACCCCCGGGGGTCATGATTTGAACAAACTTGAATCTTCACTACCTGAGCATGTTTCCATATATATATGATGAATTATGGCTTTGTCATTCTTGAGAAGAAGATTTTTAAAGAATTTTCCTATATATTTCTATGTAAAACTTTGGTCAGCCATTTTGGCCCCGCTCTACCCCAGGGGGTCATGATTTGAACAAAATTGAATCTACACTACCTGAACATGCTTCCATATAAATATGATGAATAATGGCTTTGTCATTCTTGAGAAGAAGATTTTTAAAGAATATTCCTATATATTTCTATGTAAAACATTGTTCGGCCATTTTGGCCCCGCCCTACCCCCGGGGGTCATGATTTGAACAAACTTGAATCTACACTACCTGAGCATGCTTCCATATAAATATGATGAATTATGGCTTTGTCATTCTTGAGAAGAAGATTTTTAAAGAATTTTCCTATATATTTCTATGTAAAACTTTGGTTGGCCATTTTGGCCCCGCCCTACCCCCGGGGGTCATGATTTGAAAAAATTTGAATCTACACTACCTGAGCATGTTTCCCCATAAGTTTCATCTTTCCTGGCACAGTGGTTCTTGAGAAGAAGATTTTTAAAATGTACCACTAAATTTTCATTAATTCCCAATTATCTCCCCTTGAATAAGGGCGTGGCCCTTCATTTGAACCAACTTGAATCCCCTTCACCCAAGGATACTTTGTGGCAAGTTTGGTTGAAATTGGCCCTGGTTCTTGAGAAGAAGTCGAAAATGTGAAAAGTTTACAGACAGACAGACGGACAGAAGGACGCCGGACAAAATGTGATCAGAAAAGCTCACTTGAGCCTTCGGCTCAGGTGAGCTAAAAACTTGTATAAAGAAATTAACTTTATAGTGTCAAACCTCAATATCTCAAACTCAATGGGAAAAAACTTTGAAATATCTGAGGATTCGAGATATATTGAGAGTATAATATGAAAAGAATTAATGGTTCGGACTTTCATTTCACTTTGACATAATTATGATTTCTAAGACGTCACTGTTTCACATACTTGAAATAAACTGTATTTCTGTGTAGATTTCATAACAGATCACTAAATTTAGCCATAAAAAATATTCCAATGTTAACATTAATATTTTACTTTACATCTTAAAAAAATTATATTGTACCTCTAGATCCCGCCATAAAGCCGAGGATGAGGGCTTTTTCCGGTCGAGTGACTTTGTTTGACGTCCGGAACATTTCCTGTGCCTCCAACATCTGTTCTTTCTGAAGTCAAAGATTTTTGTTTAAATCATTTCATAAAATATACATGTATCACTATTTGATTATCTTGCTGTGGTATAATAAAACATCATGTTTAGGCTACCTAAAATTGAAATTCTGGTTCTCAGGCCTGCACGCATCCGTTTTGAGGTAGCTGCATTGCTAATTTTATTGTATTGTTGATAAAATAAAAAGTTGTATTGCGGAGACCAATCCAGAAAAAAAAGTTCTGTTCTCATTTTTTTCGTAGTTTAGTATTCAAATATCACTTCCGGTAGCCATTTTCAAAGAGATTTTGGCTACTTCGTTTGAAAATAAATTCAAAGACATTGCCTAAGATGTTCACATGCTGAAAAGCAATAGATAAAGCAAACCTTTTGATCAGACATGGAAGGTATATCTGTGATTAAAAAAATTATCTTTATTGTAAAGAAAATTCACAAATTAAAATTAAAAATACACCTCCCTCATCTACTTTATTGTCAATAAAATGATAAATAAAATGCCTCCCTCTTGCATCCGTTTTGGAGAAAATTGGTCTGAGAACAAGATAATTAAATTTAGACAGCCTTAGATGAAAATTTTATGCCACCAAAGACTACAGTAAAACTTGTCACATACAAACTAAATTTAGGTCTTGGACTCAAAGAAAGAGAGGAAGAGAGTCCATTCAATGACTTACTGTGAGAGAGAGCCCTTTCTTCTGCTGTGGAGCTGCAGCTGCTGTGGGCTGGGACTGTGGATGAGAGTTCTGATTGGGTAATTGCTGAACATTTGTTTGTAAGGCTGTCTGTGGTTGGTTGGTTTGTATTGACGTTTGTGTCCTGATCTGTGATTGGCCGAGCTGTTGCTCTAACTGTTGTTGGAGATTATCTCTGGCCTGTTGCTGAGTAGCTGTGACAGGGGAAACTGTAAAAGCAGAATATAACATTCAGTCTTCTCTAAAACAAACTTTGTGTGATGTAAATTTATAATTACTGAAATGTGAGGATGATTTTTTTTCCACTCTTAACTACAGTATACTTTCTATAAGAAGTCGTAAGCCATCCAAGACATATTAACAGATTCAATCCAAACTTCATTACCTCGACCTTTTCACCATGACCTTTGACTAAGTTATCAAAAATCTATCCACATTTTTTCAATTCTTCTATCTCTACTCTTGAATACTGTGAAATCACAAATTTTCATGGGGGTTTAATTTTTGTTGTTTTTGAGGTGTGGAGAGACCCACGAATTCATGTCCACCACGAAATGTAAAGTGTTACAAACATAACTACTTAACAATTCTTCATCCACGAAATCAAATCCCCACGAGCCAAGAGTTTTTCCTCAAACTACTAAAATTTGACCCTACGAAAATATGTGATTTTACAGTAGACTGACAAAATGAGAGACAAATACTTTGAATATTAGTGGACACTCACCAAAAGAAGTGGGGGGTGTTGGAGCTGTGAGGCGTGAAGCAGCAGGAGGGACGTAGGTAACAGTGGGGGTCGGGGTGGACAGGGAGACCGTCGTCACGCCCGGTAACGTGGTAGTGGAGGTGGACAGCTTCTGTAAAAAATTATAAACAGAAAAAAAATTAATCAAAACTAGAAAACTGACCAGTCAGCAAGGGCCCCGCCATGGGGTAGAATTAATAGGGTGCAGCTTACGGAATGATTAAAAAATGTACGAAGAATAAGCAACAGCAACAGCAACTGTATTCTTAAAATTTCAAGATAATTCCTGAATATTCAAAAACCTGAAAATAATATCCTTGTACTTACATTAGGCAGTAAAGAACAACTTAATGTATATTTAAACAATTATGAAGAATTTGTGTTATATAAAATGCCAGCCTTGAATGAATGCAAATATCATGAAGGCTTGACCTTAACTTCAAACAAACAGCAGTTGCAGACAAAGGTTTTCATTAATCTTAAAGTGACAGAATAAAGAAAAGCCTACTAAATTTTCTGCAGCTGGCTAGATAATTAATCCCAAGGGATTAATTGTACCTCTCTCATCATTTTCTTCTAAAGTACAATAAGAACTTTTTCAGTACCGGTATTAATGATAGAATGGGGTTTTTATACAACTATTCTAAAAATTAATAATATGCTTGAATTAACATAAAGTGAAAAAAGTAAATCAAAAAATGGTTCAAAAAATCCTCTTTAATCTATTTCTTGTTATTCGAATTCAATGAAATCATAACTATTTAACAAATAAAAATTATAAATAATTATTTAAATCCACATTTCAGAGTGTTCATAGCATTCCAAATTGACTTAACTTCAAAACAAACTTCATTTGCAGACAGAGGTGGTAATTCATCTCAATTTGACAGATAAAGATAATGCTCTGGATTTTCTTCAGGAGGAAAGCTAATTAATCCCAAGGGACTCATAGCAGCATTCAGTTTTACAATAGGAACATCTTCAGCAGTTATCTCTCTTTGCCAATGCTTTTGTATATAAAGTTAAGGAATCTACCCCACCACCCCAGCTCCAAACCAGGGGACATAGAGAACCAAACTTAGCATCAAAATATGTATTTCTGCCTACTGAACTATCATACCAAATTTGTACTTGATAGGGCAGCCATAAAAAAAGTTGCCCATTCATTCTTATGCATATTTAAGGAATCTACCCAACCACCCCAGCTCCAAACCAGAAGACATAGAGAACCAAACTTAGCATCAAAATATGTATTTCTGCCTACTGAACTACCATACCAAATTTGAACTTGATTGGGCAACCATAAAAAAAGTTATTAGAAAAAAACAGAAAATTTGTGGACGGAAGAGTGACAGACGGACAGACAGACAGCTAGACAGACAGACGGACAGACAATGTGATTACTATAGGGCACCCGCAAATCCTTGCGGGGCCCTAATTACTTAACACACAGACTTTATCAATATATAAACAGAAAAAAATTAATCATGATTACTTAACACACAGACTTTATCACGATAAATGATGATTTTCTTTATACAAAACATATCTCATCAATCAATAATGATCCCTCAAACACTTACTAGTATGGACTGTTTCACAAGAAAGAAAAAACTGATCATATGTGAAGCATAATGTGGGGTATAAGAAGCAGTGGTTGGGTTGATCTATATACTTACAGAGGGGGCAAGAGACACTAGACCTGCAGCATAGTCTGGAGTATAAGAAGCAGTGGTTGTGTTGGTCTATATACTTACAGAGGGGGCAGGAGACACCAGACCTGCAGCATAGTTTGGGGTATAAGAAGCAGTGGTTGTTTTGGTCTATATACTTACAGAGGGGGCAGGGGACACTAGACCTGCAGCATAGTCTGGAGTATAAGAAGCAGTGGATGGGTTGGTCTATATACTTACAGAAGGGGCAGGAGACACCAGACCTGCAGCATAGTCTGGACTATTAGATGCAGTGGTTGTGTTGGTCTATATACTTACAGAGGGGGCAGGAGTCACTAGACCTGCAGCATAGTCTGGAGTATAAGAAGCAGTGGATGGGTTGGTCTATATACTTACAGAAGGGGCAGGAGACACCAGACCTGCAGCATAGTCTGGAGTATAAGAAGCAGTGGTTGTGTTGGTCTATATACTCACAGAGGGGGCAGGAGACACCAGACCTGCAGCATAGTCTGGAGTATAAGAAGCAGTGGTTGTGTTGGTCTATATACTTACAGAGGGGGCAGGAGACACCAGACCTGCAGCATAGTCTGGGGTATAAGAAGCAGTGGTTGTGTTGGTTTATGGGTCATTTTCAAAAAATGTCCAAATTCCTGTTATACAAGCTTTTTTTGAAAATTTTGCAATAAAAATCAAATTTTTTTTACCCGATGAATTTAACAACAATCTACAAGTGTAGAAAAAAATTAAGTGCGATTAAAAATTGACTTGAATACTGAAAAAAGTCCTTCAACCTGAGTAAAATTAAAGAGAATTGCTTGTGATTTGGCCGGATGTTTGACTTCAACTCTGATTATTGATGTAGTAAATATAATTAAGCAGTGTAAAATGACCTTTATCGTGTTGTACATGTTTAATACTGTCTAAATGCATGCTAAAATGTGATTGAAAAAGAGTAAGAATATGATTTTTTTAAAGTTAAGTTTGTGTTATTTTGGCCGTGTCCGTGGAGTTACCAGGACATAAAAGTTATCTGTAACAGTTATCTTTCCTAAAGAAACTCTTCACTATCAGCCTCCCTCTTTTGGTCTTGTTCCCGCCAAAATATCATGAGACACTTTACACAGATCTTTTATACCATAGGCACAATATGTGGTTGAAGGCAAGTTTGATTGCAATAGTAATTTATTTTTAAGTCCTAGAAGTTACTTCGGTATTGTGATGATAAATTAATTTGCCATTTCTTTGATGCATTGAGCAAGTTTATAACAAAATACCTATCATCGAGGAGCTGTGCTTTATGTTCATAAGTCAGTTATTGCTTTTATACTTCCAATCATTTATATAATAATTCCCTGGTGTTACTGTCCATTTTGTTACTGCAAGAAAAGTTACTCTAAGGATGTATCTAGTTACTCCATGGACAATTTACATAGAAAATAATTTAAAAGAATGAAAGTTGGAGTCATATGTTTTATTTTCCTCCCTTATTTAAAACTATCCAGTGACTAATTTTGTTTTAAAATGCCAAATTATTTACTAAATGTTTTTACCATTAGAAAATCATATGATTTTGCAGTCTTGGTTATGCAAAGGACAGAATTGGGTAACTCCGCGGACCAATTGAAAAAAAAACCCTTTAAATTCCCAATTTTAATACAACATTTGTGTAAAGTTTATTATAATATAAAATAACAGAAATATTTTTATCAAATTGGCATTTATTTTTCATATTATGTTTCCATGAGCTATAAATTAATTCAATAAATAATTTGAGTAACACAAAGGACAATGTTTGGTAACACAATGGATGTAAAAACAATTAAATATTTATGTTATTAATATACTCTTGCATGTTCTTTTGTTTCTGTAGGAAAATATACAACTTTTATTTCTTCTGAATAAATTGAAATATAAAAATTCTTTATGTAATGCAATCATATCCCCTTTTATGCTCTTTAAAGTAACCAATGGTAACACCATAGACAAATTTAGTTACTCAAGGGACACAGCAAGGATTAAAGATAGAAAAATGAAACAAGCGTATTGCATATGGAGTGGTAATTGTGTTCACTGTATTGCAGAAAACAAATGTGGTGGGATATTGCAATTCAAGTAACAATAAATAATGAAGTGCTAAAAATATATGATGGTTAAAAATGGTAACACAAAGGAAGTTTTTGGTAACACAAGGGAATGTGAAATAAGGCAGAATATGATTTGTTTTCTTTAGTCTGAGGATTCTAGTTATGTTCTCTTGATGAAGATGATGTAAACAAGACACATTAAAAAGTTGCAATGAAGCCAATAGAATCCAAGACGTAAAAGATAGATTTATATCATTGAATTGCAAATACCTTTAAAGTTATATCAGATACGGAACATTTCTTTGCAAATGCATTTAAAGTCCTTTAATCATGTAAACCCTTAGATGAAAAAGTCACAAATTGTTCATAACTGTTCTAAAAGGATTTCAAAAGATTTTTTTAAGGAGACAATGTACCAGTCATTACCCTAGAATACAGTTTTGCATTTAGTTGAGGATGTTCTTCAGATTTGTCCAACTGAAATCCCTCGTGACCGTTCTACATCCTGTAAAAGTTGGTGCTGAAAGAAGTTTTTAACCTTGGATGTACATAAGCTTTTGGAAAGTGGTGGTGAAGATTATATAGTCGAGGCAGCATTGGACAACAACAAGGCCAGATATGGTGGCAGACCACTACATTTCAAGCCACTTTGTTGGATTGTTACCCTGAAGAACTGTCAATGAAAGTTTGGCAAACGATCAGTGGATACAAGAGCAAAGAGGGCAGAAAAATATCAATGAAAAAAATGAAAAAGAGTACAGATTAAAAAAGTCCAGAGTTCCTGATAGGAAATCCGACTAAAGAAACTGAAAAGACTGACACCCTGGAAGAGAAAGAATTGGAGTCAATAATGAACATCAGACTACAGATGAAGAGAAATCAGATCCTTTGGAAGAGAGACTTGATAAAGATACCGAAAAAATGAACTTAAATGTATGCACGGGATTAGACAGAACCTAAAACCATGTTCCTTTTTAACAGGCCAAAAACTGTAAAAAATAAAAACTGGTATAGCATTGCTAATGTTTTAATAATATTGTCACCATCATATCTTGTAGATGTGTATTATGTAGAGAGCTCATTGTGGAAAGAGGCTAGCTGTATATAATTGAAATGAAAATGTAAAATCCATAAAAAGATTAATGCATTCTATATATTTGAAATCTGGTCATTTACAAATACATGTACATGTTCTAGTTTCACAATTTTTCTTCGTTAAAAATTAGTTCTAGCTGATCTAAGACTCATCTATGTAAACCTTTGAATCTTTTAAAGGTGTCCTTTGTGTTATTTTTGTCATTGGTGTTACAGCTTCTGCTTGGATATGTAAATACACTAACAAGTACTGATCAATGATTCAAAGTCATGTGATAGTAATTATTTATTATTCGGGCATAACAATTTGATTTCATTTTTCTACTGTCATATATTTTATGATTGGATAGTTATGTCTATGTCGTTACTGTTTTATCCTTGTTGTTACTAGTCAGACTCAAAATGTATAATGAAAGAAATCCCCCGCCAATTTTTTATGTTAAAACCATATACTCTTATATTCACCTCTAGGGTAATTTCATTACTATCCTTTTCGGAAGGAAGGAGAACAACTTTATTATTTCTTTCTAAGTATTACACAAAATATCCTTAGTGTAACCTTTATGTCCTTTGTGTTATGCAAATATCCTTGGTGTTACCAACACATTTTTCCTATATTTATGTTCTAAATCTTTATACAATTTTATCGAAACTTGCAACACAGTACTGTCGTTTTCTAATACTAAGTTTATTTGCAAAGCAAGTATTTTGTGCTGAGGTAAATGATGTATGCCTTAATTAAACGTGTAAGATATATACAAAAGTTACAACACTTAATTAAACGTGTAAGATATATACAAAAGTTACAACACTTACAACTTCCAGCTATACTTTATCTGATAATTTTCTGTTATGAAACTTCAGTTTGATTCAATAGAATAATTTTATCACTATGTTGAGATTGTTATTCTAAAAATCTTAATTTTTTTTTAATTATGATTTTACTATGACTTTTAACTAAGTAACACCATGGACATTTATTGTTGGGTCCATGTACATATAATGTTTTTTTAGTATATGTTAATAGAATTCTTTGTGCTTTAACATTGTTTATGCATCTATGATGTTTGAATGCTAAAATAAAACTTTAAAAAGTTATGATTGCCACATTTATTTTAAAATTTGCAAAATACTGGTGTTGGAATTTGGACAAATTTTGAAAATGACTCTTATACACTTACAGAGGGGGCAGGGGACACTAGACCTGCAGCATAGTCTGGGGTATAAGAAGCAGTGGTTGTGTTGGTCTATATACTTACAGAGGGGGCAGGGGACACTAGACTGCAGCATAGTCTGGAGTATAAGAAGCAGTGGTTGTGTTGGTCTATATACTTACAGAGGGGGCAGGAGACACCAGACCGGCAGCATAGTCTGGAGTATAAGAAGCAGTGGTTGTGTTGGTCTATATACTTACAGAGGGGGCAGGAGACACCAGACCGGCAGCATAGTCTGGGGTATAAGAAGCAGTGGTTGGGTTGGTCTATATACTTACAGAGGGGGCAGGAGACACCAGACCGGCAGCATAGTCTGGGGTATAAGAAGCAGTGGTTGTGTTGGTCTATATACTTACAGATGGGGCAGGGGACACCAGACCTGCAGCATAGTCTGGAGTATAAGAAGCAGTGGTTGTGTTGGTCTATATACTTACAGAGGGGGCAGGAGACACCAGACCGGCAGCATAGTCTGGAGTATAAGAAGCAGTGGTTGTGTTGGTCTATATACTTACAGAGGGGGCAGGAGACACTAGACCTGCAGCATAGTCTGGAGTATAAGAAGCAGTGGTTGTGTTGGTCCCTGCTGCTGCAGCTGCTTCCTTCTCTTTCTTCCTTTGTTCTATCTCTTCCATTTCTGAAATTCAGTAGATTTGCTAGTCATTACTAGATGACTGTGAACTTAAAATAATTCAAATGAGAAATGTTTAAGATGATGCAAGAGGATTTTATTTTTAAAAGTTTAACTCCATGATTACTTTAAAAATCCTGCTTAGTAAACAAAGGATAAAAATAAAAAACATGCCTCAATGAATTACACATGTATTTGTTTTCGAATTCAAAGTTGCTAAGTACATTGTGTATGAAAGTTTTAAACTATGCAATAGCCTTCAATTTTTTAGGAAATATATGTATGTCAGACCATGGATATAACCTTGGATTCATACTACAAAATAACATCAACATTACCTCATCCCGTACCCTGATCAGATGACAACTTAATCCCCTACTGACCTTGTATTTTCTTCCTTCTTTTTGCTTCCTTTGGACCCAGGGGTAGAGCTTCCAGCTCCAAAAGCTAAAATTTACAAAATAATAATTTAAATAAAGAGAAAAATATAATTTGTAAAGTATCTGAAAAGTAAAAGTATTAAAATATTCACCTGGAAACACAATTATTATGGATCTTTGAAGAAGTATGATAAAATCCTTACTAATGATTTAAAATGATAAAATCCTTACTGATGATTTAAAAAAAACAACAACAATACACTTGTTATTTCACATCGTTCTCACCCCAGCACACATGCTAGCACTTTAACCTTTATTCCTCCTCCTTTATTAGAGAGTTCTTATATTAGCACTCTGACCTTTATTCCTCCCTCCTTTTTTAGAGAGTTCTGTCTGTGTCCTGCTAGGGGGTTTCCCTGCAGTGAGTTAGTCCGCCCTGGCACAGTTCCTGGGGATCGGAATCCGGCTGAGGGCGGGGTTCTCCCAGGGAGGCCCTTCAAGGGGGCTGAAATCAAACATCAACAAATCAACAAAAAATCATTTTAACTCTCAACTGAATATACTGAAAACATTAGAATTATGAATTCAAATTGTTCATGATTTTTCCTTTGAACAAAAATAATCCATAGCAAAGAAAATATGAAGATGTCTAGGAGTACCTGGAATAAGGGCAATATATTTACTGTATACTGGGAAATTTTCGCCCCCTTTAATTTTCGTCCCATGCGCCCTAGTCTGGCGTGGGCGAATTTAAAACGGGGCGAATTCAATGTAAACAGTATAATATCTTAAATCAAAATCTTTTTGGGCGAATTTAAAACGGGGCAAACTTGTTTTCAGATGTGAAAGGGTGAAAATAAGACGGGGCGAAAATAACCCTGTATACAGTAATCAAAATAAAAAATTCAATATTCTTTTCTCATTCTGCAATCCTTGCATCATTTGCAACATACATGTATGAATGTCATTATGCCAGTGCTTTTCAATTCCAGTATTTACATAATACTCTTACTAGGTTCAATGTGTGTTGATTCTTTTAATAGATACAACAAATTTGTATGATTATGCGTACCATGTACATGTAGATAGGGTGAATGTCAGAAAAAGAATATAAATGTTTTGCAAGAGACACTGCTCTTTCATTTTTTGATACACAATAATTGAGCAATGGATTAGTTGTGGAAGTGAGTTCTCTCCCTTTCCAGAGTACTTACTGGTGTCGTCCATCTTTTTGGCAAAGCTGCGGACTTTGTAGGGAACACTGTTAGGAGCATTGTTTTTTTTATTGTTGGCCACTTCCGAGGCTGTCAAAGGAAGAAAATAAAAACATTCTCTGTCTATGAATTCAACAACAAGGACATTATCTTAAACCATTTATCTGTGTTATTGAGATCGCTAGAACTTTTAGCTCAAGTGAGCTATTGTGATAAATTTTTAAATTCTTAGAAGTTTGCCAGATCATATTCACTCTTTTTTGCCTTTTTAACCTACCATTATTTCAAATTTCTGATATCATTGCAGAGTTAGATAAATTTTGCATTTCAAAACAAAGAGACCTGACTGTATTTAGGGTCCTCACTCAGATTTCTGTAAAGTCTGGTCGCATTACTCAGGTTCCTAATTAGGCCAGACATTTTGGGAGATTACTTACATTTCTGTAAAAGTTCGGCTCTGAGGATGGCTGACTTGGGTTTCCGTTTCAGGGCGAAGTGTTTGACGGGCTGGGGGAGGGGTCCAGTGGTGGCTACTAGTGCCGTCTTATTCAGGAACTGGCATTCCATGGGTAGCATCCTCACTCCCGCACACTTCTTCACTGAAAAATCAAAGTACTAGAAGTATAAGTACTGCAACAAAAACAAACAAACAGTAAGTATAAACCTTGGTACTAGATGCAATTCTCTATTTACAGTTATTTTATGCAGCCACCTTATCAATTATCACAGTTTTATTCAGGTTTTGCATTGGAATAAGACTTCTCCACTTACCCACTTCACTGATAATTCTCCACTTACCCACTTTACTGATAATTCTCCACTTACCCACTTTACTGAGGTCTGTAAGAATTTCCATGAAGGTGGAGTTACTGTTATCAAGTTCTAAATTTAGACATCCTGTACTGGGGTAAGTCTGGAGGATTTCCGCGATGGTCGACACCCACTGATCTGTGTCATGTGTTGCTAATGCCAGAATATCCTCAAGGTCACCTTTCCACTAAAAAAAAAAATTTAGTCATAAGTAAAAGTAGTAAAATCTTAATGTAATTTTATCAAACTCAGATCTGGTGATCACTACTGTAGTGTATTGGAGTAGATCAGAGGATCCAGTTTCAAACATATTGGACCTAGAGAAATGTGTTATTCTAATGCAACTGTTTTGTGAAACGTAATTTGTTTGGAGAATGCACAGCACATGTTGGCATTTGAAGCAATACAATGATCATTAAGGACAGTGAAAGCTTTTGATTGTGTCGCAGTGTTTGAAACTCACAGTAAAATTAGTTAGACATGCAGGACTGACTGCTGGTGAAAGATGTCAGCCCTGCCAAAAATGTACCAGCCCGAAGAAATAATTGTCTTTTATAAGTTCATTTACTACCTGGCCATCAAGACAACATACACTGTTTTCAAATGCACCACTCTTGCTGTACACCAAAATTTTAAGATATGAGGCTTAACAACTCTTTTGTTTACTTAGTGTTTGGTTGTAACAATCACATCTTTTTTCAAAATAAAAGCAAGCAAAAACCACTGAGAGAATGAAAAGAAACCACACAAACGACTTCCATCACAACATAATTGGTTTTATTTCTTTATGAGAAACATTACAAAATTTTTAAAAGCTAAAATACAATCAGAATATTGAAAAACAACTTCAATGTTTACAATTTTTACCTGTTCTACGTTTCGCCTTGGGATGTGCAGAAACGACAGCATGAGTTTGACCTTCACATGCGGCTGTAAGGTGTGAAAACAAGCATGGATACTCTGTAACTTGTTCTGACTTAGTTGGGAACATATTGTCTTGCCTGACCAGAGATCGTCCGTAGATCCTAATTTATTGTGAAGCCATAGTGCAGTGTCGCCGGAAGCCATATTGAAAAGAAATTTTCAGCCAATCTTACGAAGTATGCGATTGGACAGAACGCGGGATGACGTAGTACTCCTGAGGGTTATACTAAAACCCGTAAAACACACGAATTCTTCTTATAATATAGAAATGAAAATTTGCTGTATTTAGATTTATATATTGTATTTTTATGTATTTTTTCTGTAATTGTTGCGAGAAAAAAAGGACCAAAACAGATAAAGAAAAACAGAAGAGAGTTGACGTGCAAGGTGACAAAAGGCATATTCAGTTCCCTATCCAGGTTTTCAAATAACTTGTCTGAAAAAAATTCAGTAATCTTTCCAAAATTGAGTTTGTTCAATTATCGTTTTATTTTCATTTTAGTCATGCATTACGTACACACATAGATAAAAACATTCTGTTTCATCGCTTATTTATTCATTACAAGGTATTTCCTAATATAGAATTTGTAAAGGTGTCAAACGCACCTGAATACCTGGGCATTTAAAATATGTAAACATGGATTACTTAACGTGCGATTCTTGTGAGAATCTATTTGTTGATCCACTAGAATTGGACTGTTTACACACTTTCTGTAAGAAATGTATCGACCAGGAAATGATAGATACAGAAAACAATGCAGTGAGGTGTCGTTTATGTGCAATGGAAACGACACCAGGAAATATTCAGGTAAACCGACTAATCGCCCTTGCCCTGCAGGCAAAAAACGCAGGCCAAAATAACCACCACAAAGATGAAAATACCATAAATGAATTTCAAATGCAAGCAAACGATTTAAGGGCTAATGTTTTAGGAAAGCCCGACTCACGAGAAATCGTCTCTCAGAAAAGAGAAGATTTACGACAAAGCATAACCGAGTTCTACTGTAAATTTATTGAGGATATGACTATTTACCTGAAAGAGCAAAGTGCTGACATTCTTTCTGAATTAGATTCAATATTTGAAAAATACGAATACGAGAGTATCATGAAAGAGAAAAGAAAGCAGATGCTTGCAGAAGAAATAGAGACGTTATTCAAAATATTCAGCAATGTTTATACCGACAAAACACAATTATTCATGGGAGATCTTGTACACGAGATTAGTTCCTACTTTGGAAAATGTCGAAGCTTGCTAGATACGATTGGGAGCGTAGCGTGCAATGTTAACTTTCTGTCAGGCATTGAACAGAAAGATCTTGTTCTAGCGACCAATTTTGGTGCTTTAGTTGATCAAACAGTACGCGATGAAACAAATAATCCCCAAGTTGATGACTGCACTGAAAATACCCCTACAAATGATCTCTCCGAGCCCAATACGTTGGAGCCGGATATCTCCGATGAAAGGTCATATGATGATGCCACAAACAATGCGACAGAAGCACACCCTCAGTCAGGGTCAGATTTAACCACAAATCATGACGAGGGGATAGAAAATGAAAGTCAGACAGTCACAATAGGAATCGAGAATTCGACAAATTCTGCTGATCACGCAATAGAATCTCAACCACTGTCACCTCCAACAAATGATATTAACTCTATGGCAGTTTCCCCTACCGACCCTCAGTTCACGAATTCGTCTTCTAATAATGCAGAGGAGGATCCTCCCGAGGAACCCCCTCCCCCCTACTGGATGGCTATTGGAGAGAACGAACCAAGTGAACAGTTTTCATTTTTATTGACACCAGGGGGCAGAAATAGGAATCCCAGGAGGTCACCTCGACTGTCGGACTCATTTTCCTCCAACGTGTCATCTTCAAGTAGATCGGGTCGGGGAACAAATATTCCTCAGAGAGGTAGTTTTAATCAACACACAGTTCATACTTCCAACCCTCTGCAGTATGCTACTCACGCGTTGTCAATTCGAACACATCAACCCGATGATGTAAGAACTGGCCCAATAGTTGCCATTGCATGGATGCAAGATAAACTGATGTTGGTTGATCGTTTCAACAGTAAGCTCAAAATGTATTTGGAAACTGGCGAATTTCTCCACAGCTTAAAATTCATGGATGGCGAACCATGGGACGTTTGCGCCATGAATGTGGTTGAAATGTTGAACAATCCAATGACGTGTGGTATAACTATTCCCAGAAAAAGAATGGTTATGCTAATTCAAATACTAGATGGAAGAACAATGCTGATTAGCCATCGTTTTGCTACAAGAAATGGATACGCCTGTCTTGCTTACGATCAAAGGAATGGAGCACTAGTATGTGGAGTTTCTTCCCCGTTTGGGACCCCAGGTATTGACGTCATAAACACTTCTGGCGTCCTTCTAGCTCACTTTCCGTTACCGCGACAAATTTTGGTGCGATCAATCGACGTTTCAATTAAAGATGCTATTATAATCTGTGACTGGAGAAAAAACAATGTCATATTCCTAAATAAAAGCGGCGCTGTCATTGGCCAGTATAGCGGGTCGTCAGAGCCCGTTGGAACATGCACTGATGGTCGTGGGTTCTTGCTGGTTGCCGATTCCAAATCCAATGCCATCGACATCTTGACAATGGAAGGGAAGTTTTTCGGCAAGGTGAAATCAAGCTGTCCAATTATACGACCAAAAGAAATAAACGTTCGTCCTGACGGGCCCCCAAGGCTGGCTTTGTCACATGGGTCGATGTTTGTGGAGGTGTTCGATTTGTTTGAAAGTGAAACCTCCCTCCCAACCATTCCTACGGCTCCGCCACCACCGCAGTGATTAACAAAATTGAAAGGAGAGTTTGTATCAATGTTTTGGACTGAAGCATAAAAGTAATTCTTGTCACAGTATTAGTATAAGATACTGATAATGTAAGAAAAAAATATATAGAAAAATAGAAAGAAAATATTTCGTATGTATGACGGAATAACGGAAAGGTGAAACACAATAGCTATAATAATATGATTAATAATGATATAAAGAAATTCATGTTAAAAGAAACATAATAATTATTTTTTTAACAAAACATTATCATGAGCTTGTAAAGAGCAGCATAGCGGTTAGTTAATTAATAATCATGGTATTTATTTTATTCATTTGTACATTTACCCCAATGGCAGCATCCTCGCAATGCCAGGGGTATTGAGTCAACGTGTCTTTAATAGATCAAAATGGTCTGAAAAATGGCCACAACCCCAAAGGCTATGCTCAAGAAGCAAAGTTTTGCGTGGCGCAGTGGATGGAGCCTTTGCAGCGTTTGCTCTAAAGTCATGTAGTTCGAGTTAATTACTCAACAGCATTTAAGGATGAAAACTATATACATTCTGGCATTTTGTAATGCACATATCTTAGAATCACATGTATAGACGGGTAATTTGTTTTCTTTGAATACGTCAAGTAACTTTTTGTATACTAGTATTATTGATATCTGTGTAATAATTATGCATTGCACAAGATGTTTTAAACTTACACTGTCTTTCTTATACATCTATTTTTACAAACGGATTGAGGTTATAGTATAATGGAATGTCACGTCACAAGTTATTTGATAAAAGTTGAATCTTGCGCAGTTATTCTTCGTTTGTGCTGTAAGGGTGTGTGTGTGTGTGTGTGGGGGGGGGGGGACTAGGACTGAAACTGACATACTTGATTCCTGGGCACGATACATCTGGGTCTCTGTAAGATGTTTATGACGTTAAAGTCAAGTGATACTCACTGAAATGGCCCCTGGAAATTTGATCAACACCTAGCTGTCATAGTCCCTGTCATTTTGACCCAGGAAAACTCTTACCGCTAAACATCTCTGTACAAGAATTAGATTATAAAATGCTAAAATTGATACTATCTTAGATTGGTTTCCTTCTATCAGTCTCTGAACTTGACCTTCTGACCTCAAATGAATAAATCAACCTAGTTTTGCGAGTGATATTTATTTGTTGCTTGTCTTTTTTGTTTCAGATATTATGTTATAACCTGGCATTTAAGCTGAACACGATTCGTAAAAAAAATTTGGCTGCCATATTTGATTTACCTCTTGCTATATCTGAGTCCCCTGTATATAAAACCGTTCACTTAGTCACTGTTCAGTGAAATCAATCGTCACTGGTGCATAGACGGACCTATGCTATATGACACTTGGTAGCAGCAAACAAACACAACAGTTTTATACTGTGTTCCTCTTATGACGCAAGTTCAGGTAAGATACATGTACCAAAGACACTAACAACTGTTGCAAAGGTCGGTGCTGTATTCAAACAAAAACAAATATATCTATAACTGCAATGAAATGTAAACAAAAGATATTGTAAGATAACCACTTTATGTATTCTTTTGCAGTAAGATACCTTATCATGTGCATACCGGGTACATACCGGTATCTCTCACTTGATTTGATACGCTTGAGCATGCTCTACTTATGGGATCGATACAATTACCTTGTCCGCTCACTCCTCCATGGTACCTGAGCCCACCTCAGATGACCTAGATATTCGTGATTCTCTTTAACATTTAAACTTCAGTACTATAATTCAATATCTCAATAAATGTTTGGTTCTTCCCTGTATTATAGGGTCTGTCTTTGTATCCATATGAAACAGAATTAATTCTGTATTATACCTATACATGAGAAGATTAAGAAAAACTTGCTTAGTGGCCTTCAACTGGTCACTTAGATATTACACTGTACCCGGTATATCGATAATCAATGGTTTATTATGAATTGGAATTAGTTATTTCCAATCACATATATCTACAAGATACACCCGAATGGGCTTGAAATAAAATTTACCACCGAGTGTGACACATCTACTAGTATGTCATATATATGTATATAGATATTCCCTAGATAATGACAACATCAAAGCCTTATGATAAACTTAACGCCTCTTTTATGGAGCAATATACCCTTATGAAGTGTATACTGGCTATATATCTCTAAGTTGATTTGACAACCATGAGCATGTTCCACTTACGGTCCATTTCTGAAACGAGATAAGTTACTGACAAACAAGTTGATGATACAAAAATATTTACACTAATGTTTAAAGCCATAATCATTTTGATTATTCCTTGCTCTATCCAGAATCTTTGCTGAGATGTGACACTACTGAGAATACCTGTCTATA